CAGACAGGGTCGTCCCAATATGCGTTTTTGCAATTTGCATATAGGCAAAAACGCATAAAAATCGTTTGTTTGTTTACAAATTTGGATGAGGGCGGTCGTTCGCTGCAAAATGCACTCGTTTCTGATTTCTTAGTAAAGCTGGAAATTTCTCACGCCCACCTGCAAAGAATTTCACCTACAAACAGAATTAAGACCCCACTTGAAAGTAGAAGATCCCAGCGAATTTTCTGCCTCGCAGCTTATGTGGTAAGCGAATATCCACTTCGCTACAAAAACCTTTAAAGTGCCCTAAGTCTCGATGCAAGTGCAATTCTGTACTCATTTTAGGTATGCGATTTCCCATATGGGCAGCAAACATGCTGATAAAATTTCAGCCGCTGTTTTCCGGCAAGCTTTCGAGTTAGCAATACCAATATGCAAACTCTGACGTGATCGTAAGCGCTGCACAAGCGTGCGTGACAGCTGAATCTCGTACATGTACATGCACAGAGAATATCCCCTTTGTACCTTGCCTGGTTCGCAAAATCGTTTCCCGCCAAAGAAGTTTGCACATTTCTTTCAGGGGTCCATGTGCGGGGTCTAAACAAGTGTGGGGAAGATTTAAAAACGTGAGGGTGACACACGGGATAGGAACATATACCCAAAGTTTCAGCCTTCAGCTTTCCTGGTTGTTGAGATGAAAGTGGGTGGCAAAATGCACTCGCCTCCGAACAGGCACACACAAAAAGCCTCTCGACAATATATGTTTGGCGTTTTTGCTGTATATCACTATAGCGCTGCACAGCAAAAAAGCACAACCAGTCCGGACATTTTCAAGACGCTCGCCATGGAAATGCACCCGCAACATAAAAGGTGCGTGAAATAATGAACGTTTTTAACAGCACGGATACTACCGAACAGAATTTTACGAAAACATTTTCTAACTTTTATCCGGTGTAAAAGATGTTTTGTTCATTAGATGTTGGCCTGGCGTTTTTTTAGCCGTAGTTTCCCGGAACTGGGAAATTGTCCTAGTTTGCTTCAAAAAGGACTTTTACGATTTGAAAGACCAAAACATTCTTGCTTAGCTCTTTAATTTCTATTCTGTACCATTATTTTTTAACAAAAACATACCTTCAAAGCATTTCCAAAAATTTTGACGTGCCTTCGTAAAATGAGTGCACTTATTTCTTAGGCCCTCTCTTTGGTTTATGAGTCTAGCGATTTAATAAAGAAAAAAAATCTGAGCAGAAGTACGTTTTGGGTTACATTTTTCCCGCAGCTAATGTTCTTTTAGTGCTGATGCAGTCAGACTTTACTGCAACTTTATTCAGCTTCATATATTCGTGAGAGCGAAAACATCGTTATACTTGACCGTAATCTTCAAATTTTCGCCGCGTTGAAAAAATATACAAACTAAATAATACCCCTCCAGAAAACCAAAAAAACACGACAAAAAATGTTTTCCAGTGTCCTATAAATTTTGGTTAGCTTTTTAACTGCTCACTTAATTTTACCTTCACTTTCAAAGCAAAAGAACCGGGCTAATACTATTCAGTTTCATTATCATCATGGCCATCATCCTTCAGTTCAATTATTCCAGACCAATTTTATTTAGCGTTTTTAACATCCTTCGAAGTTGTGCTTGCCGACGCAATTCTTTTCTTATATTTCGAACAAATTCCGGATGATGTTTCTTGATCCACTCAGCTGTTAAATTGTTTTTTTCCTGTTTTCTTTCCTCATTGCCCCAGTGGAATCTCCGTAGAAAGGTCGTCAAATCATCATTCTTCGTTGTCATTTCGATTGCAGCGTCCTGAAATACAAACTGATATTTTTTGCGAAAATTATCTCGCTAAATTACGTTTTTTTTTAAACATTTCTCACTCACCGTTTCACTTTTTCTGAGAGGGCCAAAAGGTTGTTCTGCTGTAAAATTTCGTGAAAGTTGGTCGCCTGTGAGGTTTTGTTGCTCGGAATGAAACTAGAATGAAATTAATTTAAAATGATGACTGGACAAAGACTAATTACGGCCTCTTACGAAAATCAAGCGTAAGAAGAACTAAATTCATGAAAACATCGGCGAGCCAGCGCCATATCAATGTCGAATCGAATCCTTTCTTGACAACCGGAACGAAGTCTGGATTTTAGAATATACGCTTTTTAACACTAGACCAAAGCTAACAGCATTGGGATGGGGAAAAAGAGAATCTGATTACTGTTAACACAAAGTGCTGTCACTGTGGTCATTTCTGATTAGAGAAAAGTTTTTTGAAAACTGTTTTTTTGGCCCGACAAACAGTGAGCTAACCTTGCACGGAATGCATCTAAAACACTGTAGCCAGCTGAAACAACCTGCACTGTTCGCAGAGTCGTTAGAGCGCTGGACCACAGATTGCTGTAAAAATATAAATGATTATGTAAAAAATGAAAAAAACCTTATTGAAAAAACTGGAAAAAACTGAGAAAATATTCAACTGAGTGCAAGCAATTAGAGTGGAACACAATCTAAGTCGAAGGTTGGATGTTGAAAAGGGCCACGTCCTGCGTTAGTCTTAAATTCTTCAAAAAAAAATTTTTTTTTGTTTGTATCTGTAGTTGAAACTAAGTAAAAATTTTATTAAATTTAGTCCCGAAGAATCCATCGCCACATGCAACGAAATTGCTTGAAATGTCGTTTTGGAAGCAACTAGTTCCAAAGAGATGCAGCCGCGCACTTGAGCGCCGTTACATCAAGTGTTTTCGTTTGTGTACAACATCGACTGAATGTCATGACCGGAACTGGTCAGCAAATAACGCTTCTTTGTTACAAGAGAAGGAAAAACAATACTTGTTTGTGTTTTTCAGGGAAAGTATTTGATGTTTTATTTCATGTGAAAATTAGTGTGAATTTGAAATTTCTGGACAATTATTGTTCTTGTGCAATAGACACTAAACTTATAGCAAAGGAAAAAATTATTTAGCTGAAACAATAAAGCCGGGCGGCGAAGCACTAGCCTCGTTTTTGCATTCCTTTTTATGCGTTTTTTGCATCTATGCAATGCAGAAAACGCATATTGACGAGAAGTTGTCTGTGTGTGTTTGTGTGTGTCCGTGGGTTCATCTGTACCGATTTTTCATCTCGAGACCTACGAAAGCCACAGGACTGAAACGTTGGGAACTTAATCTACATGCACGTACGGGCTCCATCCCCAAAATGGGCTGTCTTACCGGCGTGGTACCCACGTACGGCCTGCCAAAGTTTTTTGCAGGAAGGCTGCTAACATGGGAACCAGAAACAATGGAAAGCTGAAATTTTTGAGAGGGTGTTCCCTGACAGTTCTGGCGGTCAGCCTTAATTTTTTTAGCTAGAGCCATTTGCTGAAAAACCGGTACCGATAACGACAAAAAACTGTGGAAAACTATGCAAAAAAAGCACTTTCGCACGGGCAGCCCGTGCGTTGACCAATAATTA